TTTCAAAGTGTCCCATAGATTCCAATATGTTGTATTGTCATTGTCATTTAATTGAAGGAACTGTCTGATTTCTTCTTTACTTTCCTCTGTGACCCATTGGTTATTCAGAAGTGTGTTGTTCAATTTCCATGTGCTTATGAAATTCTTGAGGTTTCTTTTACTATTGATCTCCAATTTCATCACACAATGGTCTGATAATATACAGGGGGTTAACTTCACTTCCTTTGCACTTACTTAAACATGTTCTAGGAGCAAGTATGTGGTCTATTTTAAAGAATGACCCATATGCAGCTGAAAAGAATGTGTATTCTGATTTTTTGGGATGGAATACTCTGTAAACATCTGTTAAGTTCATTTGTTCAAGAATTTGATTGTGTTCTAGTATTTCACTACTTATTTTTTGTCTACCTGTTCTATTTGTGACAGTGGAGTATTGAGGTCCCCCACTGCTATTGTATCAGTGCTTATTTGATTTTTCCTGTCCGTTAGTATTTTTTTTTATATAGTTGGGTGCATTAGTATTTGGTGCATATATATTTATGATTATTATCTCTTCCTCTTTGATTGTTCCCTTTACAAGGATGTAGTGTCCTTCTTTGTCTCTCTTAATCAGTGTTGGCTTGAAATCCACTTAATCTGCAAAGAGGATAGTTACTCCTGCTTTTTTTAGGGTTCTGATCACATGGAGTATTGTTTTCCACCCTTTAACTTTCAGCCTATCAGTTTCTTTTTGAATTAAGTGTGTTTCTTTCTTTTTGACCTATTCTGCCGGTCTTTTTTCTTTTGATTGGAAGTGAGACCATTAACATTGATGGTTATAACTGATGTGTATTGACTCATCATTGACAGACTTTTTTTTTTGTTGAATTCTCCCCCTTTGCATTTAATTTCTTGTCATGCCTGATCGATTCATTCTGCTGGGCTTCCTGGGGTTGTGAACCTTGTTGTCTTTTCCTAGGATATTGTCTAAAATTTTTTGCAGTGCTGGTTTGATATATGTGAAATTCCTCAGGTGCTCTTTGTCATGAAAGTATCTTATTTCTCCATCAATTTTGAAAGATAGTTTTGCAGAGTACATCAATCTGCGTCAGAGGCTGTTTTCTTTAAGGGCTTGAAATACATCACTCCACACTCTTCTTGCTTTGAGGGTTTGCATTGAGAAGTCTGCTGTGATTTTGATGGGCTTTCCTTTGTCTGTGATTTGCTTCTTTTCTCTAACTGCTTGGAGAATTTCGTTCTTTTATTGGGTTTCTGGAATCTTAACTGTTACATGCCTATGCGCAGATTTTTTTTTTTTGATCAAGGCTAGTTGGAGTCCTATATGCCTCACTTATCTGTATGTCAAGTTCTTTTCCCCTGCTTGAGAAGTTTTCTGCCAACACTTCTGTGAAAAGTTCTTTTAATGTCATCTGTACTCTCTCCTCTTTCTTCATTGACTCCAATTAGTCATGTTATTCTTCTTTGCATTGTCTAGCAGCTGCTGGATTGATTTCTCATGGTCCCTTCCTATTTTAAAGAAATTTTTCTTTTCCTGGTCATTAATTGCAATCTTATCTTCTATATCTGAAATTCTGTCCTCACATTGGTTCTTTCTGCTTTGTAAACTTTCAATGGAGTTTTTAATCTCCTGGAAATCTGTTTAATGGATTCCATTTGTTTTCTATGTTGGGATTTCATCATGTTGCTCAGCTCCTCTATCATTTTTATCTGTGTCCTGTTTAGATTTATTAATCGTGTCTTGCACTATGGGCACAATCTCTGCTGTTATTTGAGAAATTATTTCTGATTTCATTTTCTCCTGATCCTCTTTCATTGCCAGTTCAGGGAGTCCAGGTGGTTGAGTATCAGATTGTTCCATCTCGTTTTCCTTTGGGGTTGCTTTAGGTGATCTGGAAGTCTGGTTTTGAGACTTGTTTAAGTGTCTTCTCATTTCAACAGGGGCGGATGCTGCTGGTGCCCACATGGCTCACCTCTGCACTTGGGGCAGTGGTTTGGTGGCCTGGATGGTTCACCTCCTCTGTGCTGGGGGCAGCTCTGCTCCTAGATGCTGGGGGTGTTGGTATGGTGCCCTGGAAGGTTCATTTGCAATTTATTAAAATGTGTATTCCAAATTAACTTTGACATTTTACTACATTTAAATTAAGTGGGTAAACGTCCATCTGCAGTAACAGTCTATTTATGAATATACTGTGTGTGAATTTATAAAAGAAAAAAAGCTCATAATCATGACTTTAGCTCAAAGATCACCTTAGCTATCTTTGGATTAATTTCTAAATAGCAAGCAGGTAATGTGTACCCTAATTATTTTTTTCATTCAACAGTATTTATTGTGTGTAATTGTATTCCAGGCTTTCATGTAAGGAAAATACAGCCTAAATAGAATTAGTAAGTTGCCTCAAAAAATAATTTAATTAGTATCTGGGCTTTGTTCTGAGGCTAAGTCTCACCACTATGATAAACTTCATGCCTGAACTTTTTTGTGGCTTAAAGCACATCTTTGTTTCTGTCCAAGTGCATGAAAACTTTGTTGATGTTAGTAATTAAAGTGGGAAGGATTATATGAAGTTCTACTAATGGATGCTTACTTTTCCACTGCATCACCTCCACCAGTTCAGAAGATATTTCTGTGACATACATGAATGAGGAGGTGCTGCTCTGCTTCATAGAGTCCAAGCACGAACTGAAGAGGTAGCTGTAAGAAAGTAAAGAAGAAATTATGTGAGAGGAATCATGGTGAAATAATTGACAGGATTGTATACTTAGGAGGAAAACTTTTGTTCAACAATGAAAGAAATGCCTAGATTAGTAGAATGGCCTCCTTAAGAGCATTGGAAAAAGCCAAAGAACTCTTTAATATCTGAGAGTAGTTAGTAGAAGAGGCTGCCTATCATGTTGCATTAAGACAGAAACCAACAGATTTTATTAAATTCAACAAAACAATCATTGAGTTTTCATGTTTAATGTGAGAAGCATCACCAAAAAAAATATTTTATTTTCTTAAAGAAATTTAGATTTTACATGGAGCTATGAACTCACTTTTAGAATGGAAAAAACAAAATGCTCTTTTTCCTCTTCAGAGGATCATTAATTTTTGTTAAAATTTTCAAACTTTTGCTGCTTTTCCTTTGATATTAAAATCATAACTCTTTTAAATCACCACTATGTCATCATTTAGATCAACTCTTTTTCTTCAGTGGTTAAATGATAGATCTTTACCTCAGTTGAATTTGTCATTGAATCCATAATTAAACAATTGTCACATCCAATATCCCCTTCATATATTTTATAAAATTCTTGGCAAAATTTGATGTTTCATTCTGAAATTATTTTAAAACACATTTACATTGCACTATGACCTACAGAGATGGAATCTGTTGTTACATGGGAGCAATGTACACAGAATAATTTTTATAACTGGTCAGTTACTGGTGGATAGGTTTATATATAGCAGTTGTTTCCATATATAATCCTATCACTGTAAAGATTTGAAAATATTTTCTTGGATAATAATAGTCCCTTTAATTGTATATGTATTCTACATTTGATAATTTCACAAATATTTATCAAGGGCCTATTTATACAGCATATATATATGTATATATGTGTATGTTTATATGTATATGCACATGCATATATACACATGTATATATACACATGTGTATATATACATGCATATATACATACATATACATATATGCATATATATACATGTATGTATATGTATATATTTAGGCATGTATGTATGTTTATATGTGCATATATTTTATATGTATGTACATACATCTATTCATGTTTGACATAGAGGTCTTTATATATTAAAATATCTTAAGATACAAACTTTAGATTATGAGAGATTGCTGGAAATTGTATACAAGTTTTCAAATTTACTGTCAGTGTATAACAACATTTCTGCATTTTATCTCTGGATTTCCTTATCTCAGCTCAGTTAATAAGCATATTGCTTTTCATTTTGTAAGTATACTGATTGCAGTGTGAAGATCAGATCATTAATGTTGACACTGGATTGCATAGTCTCATTTTTATTTTCAAAGCAAACATATAAGAGGATTTTAATCTTTACTGTCCATACTGTCATCACAGAAGCTTCTCAAATGCATACTACAGTGGGTCTCTTGTGCCCTGCCTTAGTTCAGTTTAAAAAAATTACATTAAAATCTCTCAAAATTCTTCTGGACATCATCAGCTCTTTGAGATCTGTAGAACAGCATTTGCTAAGTGTGAAAGAGGTTGAATATATCTCACTTCCTTTAAAGATATCCAAGGGGATTTCTTAATAGCTGAATATCAAATATATTCTAGGAGCTTATTTCTTTTTTGTGGTCTATTTCTAGGACAAATATATGTATGCCTGAGGGTGATTGTTCACACATATTTATGCATATAATGCATAACATACATATCTTTAAATGCTCCTGACTTGATTTTAAGCCCATTGCTTTTGGATATAAAAGCTGTCTATCACTTAGGCGTGATTGTCAAAAAAGTAGTTTGGATGAAAGTGCTCTTAAACAAGATTATTATTTTAATTCTGAGCATAGTGTTGCTCATAGCCTTATTCTTTATACACAACCAAAAAAGCTGACCTGGATTGAAGCAAGACTCCTCCATTTGCATTGGACTAAATCCTCCCTTGTAATTCTTTCCAGCTCCTAAGAGATCTGCAAAGCGTTTTTCATTTTCTACACAGTAGCCCATGAATACCAGGAGGGCCCATGGATAGCAATAGGTTGGAGGTCACCTTCAGGGATGCAGCCACCTGCCCAGAGGGCGCTTGGTCTTACATCTTGACCTTGGTAATTGAGCACAGTAGCCACTTCGGTGGCACTTCATCCTAAAGAAGACTACTTGAGGAAATGTAACACATCTGTCTGATAAAATCACTAATTCTTTTAAATCATCTCATATCCAGGAATAAAGGGATCAGAGAAGAATGAGAGATTTCAGCTTTGATTCTCCTTATATTGTTATGTCAGAAATGGCCATCTGTCTGCTTGACCCCTGCTCCATTTATTTTTAATGGAGGTGACACATGAGAACTGGATTTTCTATTAGGGATGTAGGTGGCTCATTCACTGGAAGTAAAAATACAAGGTGCTGATAGATACTTTCTCCCACCCATGGCATCCTGGAAACTTGCGATGCCAAAACAAATTAACATTCTCTTCTGCAGTCTCCTTTGGGAGGGAGAGCCTGCTTGGTCAGGGATAAGAAGTTCATGGAGAATGAGAGGCATTTTGTAGTTAATTATTGTCAATTGTTGGATATGTATTGTACAGAAAGATGAAGATGATGTTTTCTCAGTGGAAGAAACTTACATTACACCACTTTGCCCTGTGTGACACCCAGCCTCTGTCCTCTAATGCTGGTCACCAGGAGATGTAGCAGGTGGGCTTCGAAGGCACCATCTGTGCCAGTTTTGGGAAGATGGAAGCAGTGTAGGGCACAGAGTTTGAATTTATTGGACTCCCACACAAGCTCATAAAAAGGAGTGAGATAGTGAAGTCAAAACCAGGCACAAGTTGTCCCCAAGGTCCTCAAAATGCAAGTGGTAAGGGAAGACTGTGAACAGTAAAAACACTTCCTTGGTATCCGAAAGTACAAGAGTGGTGTGGGGTGCATTATGGACCTAAACCCAGAGGAATTCTCAGAATAGCCAAGAGAGGTTCCCTGGCCTGACCGATGGGCTTCTTGGAGAATGGCAGCTGCAGCTGAAGGGGTTTTATCCCCTCCCATAGCAGGGAGTCAGCAAAAGCCTGAGTTCTGTGACCTCCCACAACTGACTGGAGCTCCCTTGTAGGATGTGCATCCTGGGGAGAACTGCCAGAAAGGGAATAAATCCCGAGCTGGAGAGACAATAGAGAGAGAGGAAAGGGAAGCTTCAGATGTGAGGAAAACAGGCAGGAAAGCTCAGAAAGCAACTGCTAGATACATCTCTGTGAAGTTAGAAGAACGATCTTAAACCAACTTTTAAGAAGTTTGGAAAAACTAATTTCACACACACACACACAAATAAGAAACCAGTGAGTATGAAGGTCAAATCCTATCCAAGTTTATTATGAAAGGAGACTAAAGCACACAGTATCTTCAGAGACACCATGAATAAAAAGCAAAAGAGATTAAAAGTGTAACCTTCTCCAAGATGACTAAAAATGTCAAATAAAAATGATGTAAGATATCAAAGAACACTATAAATCATAATTATGAAAACTTGGATATGAGGCGCTCACATGGGGAAAGGAGGAGAAATAAGAGCAAAGATAGTTTCAGGGATGAGTACTAATTACATCTTAGCTACTTTTCTGTCATTGCTGAGATAAAATGCCTGACACCCAAAGTTAGAGGGGAAGGATTCATTTAGCTCACAGTTTGTAGAGGTTTCAGTTCAAGGACAAGAGAAGCAGCAGTTCATGGCCTCAGAAAACAGCAAAAAGAAGTGAGTTTAACAACATCTTTCTGCCCTTTTAATCTTATTCAGACCTCTTAGGGTGGGGAGCACTCACCCCCTTAATCCTAGTGCACTAGTGCCCAGCCCCAAACCATGAATCCTTCACACACTCTAGATTCAGCCACCTCAAAATGAGGCTTTGGAGGACATCAAGACACAAGCCATAACAAATGGGTAAGAAATAGAAGACTGAATACATAAAAATAATGCTTGCATTAATTATCTCTTGACTCATAAAGCAAATTCTTGCAAGATACAGCAATATCAAAGAAAAATAATTTGTGATTTCACGATACATGCAGGTCAGGAACTGGGAGACAGGTAGACAGAGCCTCACAAAACTGAAATCACCGTGTGGCCTGACTGAAGCCATCCGAGGTCCAACCCGGGAGGTTTAGCGATTCAGCTCATCCCTGCATCACCTGCAGATCTCAGGTTCTCTCCGCTGTTGGCCAGGGACAATGGCGGCTTCATGACTGTCTCTCAAGTCAACAAATGAGAGTGAGGGACAAAGGGAGGCAGGCCACAGTCTTTTTGAAACTGAACCCCAGAAATAACATGCCATTATTCTTGGTGCATTGTTTATTAGAAGCAATTCATTACGTCCTGCCCACACGCCAGGGAAAGGATTTCCACAAAGCTATGGACACCAGAGGCAGGAAACTTGAACGTCCCCTCCGAGGCTGCCTTAGGACAATAATAAGGTGAAAGGGGAACACACAAACAAGTTAAAGAAGAGACAAAAAGAGGAGGCTGCCAATATTAAAGCTAAGTGATATGGATTCAGAACATGGACAACAAAACTACATAAAGAAGGAAACGAAAACAAGAGATCAAAACAAATACCAAGAACTGCAACTCAACAAAACTTTCCTGAATTAATGGATGTAGCTGCTAAGGGTTCACAGCTTCTTACCTCACTAAAGAGAGACAAGAATTCATTGCAGCCTCCTAATGAAAGAACGCAATACCACAACCACTGCCAGCTGCATGTCACTTAGACATTACTTAGTGTTTTCATTTATCTTACTTTGTGAAATTCCCATTTAGCATGGTATTGGCACCTGAATTTACAATGCCAACTGTATTTTCTCCTACACTTCAAATGTCTCAGATTTTTGTTCTGTGTCTTGTTTTTTGATTTCTCCATGTACTCAAAACCAAACAGTATGTTAATGGAGGTAAGAGTACCACACAGTGGGAAATGCTTAAGCAGGACAGACTAA